AACTGCAGACTTGTAATGTGGGGGCAGAGAAGTGTCTTTCTAATGGTGCAGGGAAACTTTGTCATGCTCAGGTCTCCTAGAGCAATTGTGTTAGGTTTGCATAATTGGGCCAAATGGATGCTCTGGTATGAGGACTTACCCTGTTTGGGTACCAGTTTGGAGTTTCTTCTTTGCATCCATGAAAAGACAAATGATGGGAGAAAAAGGAAGAAAGGGGAGGTTATGTCTGGCAGTTTCCCCCCTTTTTTCACCCACCTGTCCACCTTCTGCTTCCTCTCCATCATTAAGGATGAGTTTAGTTCCTTTAATGAATTGCTATGACTGGAGTGTGAGATTCAGTGTGGCTGCAGGCAATGTTCCCTCTAAGCTGTGAAGTCTTGTGAGCAAAAATTCAATTTCATGAGCTACTGGCATTAAAGTTGTGAGTGAGTGATTTGGTTACTGCATAAACTAGTTTGCTCTGGAGCCATCCCTCCTGAGCTAAGACAAAAATGTGTGAGCCGGAGGCTAAAAAACTTTGAGTTAGCTCACCTTAACTCAGCTTAGAGGGAACAGTGGCTGCAGGTAAGGATTTTGTTTAGTTTTCATTTTTTGAAGACTTTGGTACTTGTTGTAAGCAATCCTCCCTCTAAGCTGTGGAGTCTTGTGAGCAAAAATCCTACTTTGTGAGCTCCTGGCATGAAAGTTGTGAGCAAGCGATTTGGCTACTGCCTCAATTAGTTTGCTCTGGAGCCCTCCTTCCTGAGCAGAGACAAAAATGTGCGCGCCAGAGGCTAAAAAACTGTGAGCCAGCTCACACTAGCTTAGAGGGAACACTGGTTGTAAGGATGAGTGAGAGATTGTATATTTAGGATTACTCGTAGTGGATGGGGCAGAGGGGTGGAGTCGGGAGGTGGGGCCCGCATAAGATAGGCAATGGGAGAATAGTCCCCAGAGACATTAGCCCCATTAGCCCATTAGCCAGTTGCTCTGCCCCAAAGCTGAACAGACCCAGAGTGGGATGGGAGCATCCACACACATGTCTTCTATACACCCATGTGCAGGAGTGTGTGTGAAATGGTGTGCTCACCCTCATCAGCAACCTGTCATTCTAGTGCATATGGTGTAAAGTCAGAAGGATGGGGCTCCTTCACAGCTGATAACAAACAGAAAAGCCTACTGTGATTTTTTTACCTAGAAAATTCCTACTTGATTCAAAAATTCTTGGCAATTGTGCCAGATTCCTTGTTTTCACACACACAAACATTCTGGCAACAAACCTAGAGGTCAGAGAACTGGCTGGTTGTTTGCATCCACCTCCCTTGGTTGTTTTGCAGGCTTTTTGCTGGGACCTTTCAGATGTGCAGGGGAGGGACAGAGAGAGAAGTGACTGGTTCTGGCACCTGGGCGTTGAGGCCTGCAAGGGCTCTGAATGCATTGGAACCTGGTCGCTTGCCAAGGTTTCTGTGTCAAGACCTGAGTGGTGGTTGTTGTATTCCCCGTCCTCCAAGGCTGTAAACTGCTCAAAAAAGAGATGTTTTAAAAGATCCATAGGCACTGGGGTTCTGTCCTTCACGAGCATTCTTCCTGAACCAAAGAGCTTCTTATTATGTGTTTATTTGTATATTTATTTACCGCATTTTTATCCTGCCCTTCCTCCAAGGAGTTAAGGACAGGACACGTGGCACTTTTGCCTCCATTGTACCTTCACAACAACCTCAGCCTTCCTTCCTGAGCGAAGACAAAAATCTGTGAGCCCAAGGCTAAAAAATTGTGAGCTAGCTCACAATTTTTTAGCCTTGGGCTCACAGATTTTTGTCTGCGCTCAGGAAGGAAGGATCCAGTGGTCCCTCTAAGCTGAGTTGGTGTGAGCTAGCTCACAATTTTTTAGCCTTGGGCTCACAGATTTTTGTCTGCGCTCAGGAAGGAAGGATCCAGTGGTCCCTCTAAGCTGAGTTGGTGTGAGCTAGCTCACACCAACTCAGCTTAGAGGGAACACTGCTCGTGAGGAAGGTTAGGCTGAGAGAGAGTGACTATCTCCAAGTCACTCAGCAAGTTTTTTTAATGGGAGTGGGGATTCGAACGTGGGTTTCACAGATGTTAATCCAACACTGTAACCACTACACCACACTGGCTGGCTGTTTAACACATCTAGTTTGGCAGGAGGTACACTGAGGGTTATGCTACATGGACATGTGCAAGGAGTTTACAGTACCAGGTTGTGATTCTTGCAATAACCCTGTCAGGTAGGCAGAGAGTGGGTTGTCCAAGGCCAATTAGTGAATTCCTGGGAAAGATGAAATGTGTACCCAAGACTTTTGCATTCACAGCTTAGTCTCTATGCTACAAGTGCTCTCAAAGGACTGGAATGAAACCTAGAGTTTTAAAGTTAATCAAGGACAGGAAAAAAAATCTAGATAAGGAAAAAGCCCAGCCGCAAGAGTTTTTACTCTTTCTGGTTTGTTTACTATATAATAACGGGACTGAAAAGAAAATCGGATGAACTCCAGACCTTATTCTTGGAAAACCAAGGCAGTTCTCGTAGTTTGGAACCCGACACGGAAGGAGCGAGCCATCTTGGAACCCAGCCTGCCTCTCCTGTGTCTCTTTAACAAGCGGCAGGCTATGCGTGCCCGGATCCTGCAACTCAGTGGTACTGGCTCATGACAAAGTGGCAGGGCCCAAAACAGGAGCAGCCAGGAAAGAGAGGATTGGGGTGGGGGGAGTTCCAGCCTCCCAGACCTCTTGAGGGCTGAATAAGGGCAGTTGCTTTATCGGACCAGAAGCAGCAGCGCTTATTCTGTTGGAACACAGATGCCCTGTGGCTGGGCTGATGGCTGCAGCAGCAGTTGGACACATTGGTGCACCAGCAAAGCATGTGCAAGTCCAAGGGATGCAACCCAGGTTCCCTTCACTGAGTTACTTCTCAGGTCCTCAAATGTCCCTGGCCTTGTGCAGAACCCTTTCTCCATTCAGTGAAACCCAGAAAGCCCAGGCCTGAGAAGTCTTTCGTAAGGGCCAGCTGATTACTGGAACAGAGGGCGACAGCGACACCATTGAGAACACCAGCAGGAGCAGCTGCAACGGACAGGCCATAGCACAGTGGTAGTGCACCTGCCTTGTATTCTGCAGGTTCCAGGTTCAGTCCCCGGCATCTTTCGTTAAATGATTCATAGTGACAATAACTTTCTCTGCTGGAGAATCGCTACCAACAGAATAGACAGTTATACTGAACTAGTGAGAATTATGCTCTGATTCAGTCTAAGGCTGCTTTGCGTCCAACCGTCCGCCCCCCCCCCCAGTCCAAGCAGTTCCTGCTAGCCTTTGCTGATCCTGTGTTCCTTTGTTCAAGCTGCAAGCTACACCTCACTTAGCAAACCGTCCTAAGTTTTGGTGTGGCCAATACAAAGCTGATCTTGCGCCTTAGCACTGTTGCCGAGCATACCGGGGATTGCTATTCTGACATGCCTGTGTCGTTGCAAAGGCATCCAGATCGGCTCCTCTTGTTTTGTACAGTGCAAGAGGTGGCTAATTGCCTGGGGCAGACCCTGAGCCATTATTTTTTTCCCTCTTGGCCAAACTGATCTTGCAGGCTTTTGGACATTCTTTGTCAGAGAGAAGCACTCAAAGCAGATTAAAAGTAGATCTTGGTATCTGGTCCCTGCTGTTGGCTCACTGGCTGGATCCTCTGCTCTTTGGACCAGAAGGGGTCAGAGCAGGCTGCGGTTTTACAATGAAACTGAGGCAAATGTCATCCTGGCTGGCAGGCTGCTTTCTCAGTCCGCTCCGGGAATATTGTCATCGGATGGACAAAACAGAGAGCAGAGTATCTGACTTGGGTCATATTAAACTCCTTGCAGGATCAGACTCAGGATCCGGTTGGTAACCTGGAAGAGAGAGCGGTGGCTCAGTGGCAGAACACCTGGCCCGCATGCGGAGAGTGCCAGGAACAGTCCCAGGCTATACACACTGGGAAACACCATCTTCCACCTGTGACTAGGCAGAGACCCAAGAGTAGCTCCCTCCAGCTCAGTTCCCCATAGCTAACTGGATGTCCTCAGATCATCAGACACCCCCCCCTCCAACAGGTAGCCTACTACCCTGACCCTCCAAATGCGCTCCTCTAAGATAGTAATCTAAAAAAGGTAAAGGTAAAGGCTCCCTTGCTCGAAAGCCAGTCGAATCCGACTCTAGGGTTGCGGGGCTTATCTCCGTTTCAAAGCCGAAGAGCCAGCACTGTCCAAAGACGTTTCCGTGGTCATGTGGCCGGCATGACTAAACACCAAGGCGCACGGAACGCTGTTACCTTCCCACCGAAGTGGTACCTATTTATCTACTTGCAATTTCTTGCTTTCGAACTGCTGGGTTGGCAGGAGCTGGAACTAGATAACGGGAGCTCACTCTGTCTTGCGGCACCCGGGTCTCGAACTGCTGAACTACTGACCTTCCACAGCCTGCAGTTCGGCGTCTTAACCACTTGAGCCACCGCAGCTCCTTAGCAATTTAGGCAGCAATCTAAAGCAGCTGCCTAAATAGCAACCTAAAGAAGCAACAAACCCCCGTAAAATTTCAAATTGATACAAACTCAGAGCCAGCATGGTATAGCCTGTTCTCATTACATCTCAGAAGCTAAACAAGGGTCAGTACTTGGAAGGGACACCGCCGAGAAAAACTCTGCAGAGGAAGGCAATGGCAAACCACCTGTACTTTTCACTTGTCTCAAAAGCCCCTTGATGGGGTTGCTGTAAGTTGGCTGTGACTCAACAGGACATTACAGTAAAATAGCCCTCAGTTATAAAATTAGTACCCAGCTAAAAGAAGAACAGTACCAATTAAAACATCACATTGGAAGAATTTAAAATAAGTCTTCACAATTTTCCTGATGAGCCTCATGAGGCAGTGAGTTCCACATTCCATCTTTGTGTCTTCTTTGTGTTTCCCATCAGTGTCTCTCCAAGCTCATGGAGAACACCAGCGTTAGGCATGTCTATGCAGCCTCCGGACACCTCCCACAACCTACCGTCGACTCTTCCACTAAGAACCAGAGTGTCCGGCAAGAGCTGATGGTCAAGTTGACCGAAGGACAGTATGTCTTGTGCCGGTGGACTGATGGGCTCTATTACCTTGGGAAGATCAAGAGGGTAAGAGCAAGTATTTCTTTGTACAAAAATGCATTTCTCCTCTTAAGGAAGCCAAACTTCATTTATCCTCTTGGGAACGTTTAGTAAGGTAGGTGATTTTTATTTCTGTTTTTCAAGTGATAAATTCAATCCAGCCAAAGTTTAAACGCATTTTAGTCCCGTAGATTGCAGTGGGAGAATTAAGCACCTGTGTCTTTCCCATTTCAAATCACTGGGATTTAAAGTGGCTTAACTTTTGTGCCCCGTGGTTCTAAGCAGCTGATGGTGTGGACGGGACTTACTTTGATTCGAGGCCGTGAACCATCCAGGTTTTCAAAGCAGGGACTCTAGCGGAGGGATGCAGCTGCTGGTGTGAACTTGGGTCACTTACAAGTTTTCTCAGAGCAGTTCTCTCAGGAGCAGTTCTCCGAAGAGCTCTCTCAGCCCCACCTACCTCACAGGGTGTCTGTTGTGGGGAGGGGAAAAGAAAGGAGATTGTAAGCCCCTCTGAGACTCCTTCAGGTAGTGAAGGGCAGGATATAAATCCAATCTCCTCCTCTTCTTGTGTCCAAGCTAAGCCCCTGTGGGGTTGTTTGCAGGGGGCTTGGCTGGACCCAGCTGGATGCTCATCACAGCCACTGATAACTGGGCATGACCCAAGCCTCTGTGGTACATCAGCACCTTCCTTGCACTGCCCCACTGTGGCTTGGCTGGAGATTGGCCCTGACTTTACTCCAATTGTTAACTTTCCTCCTTTTCCCACCTTGGCAGGTGAGCGGTTCCAAGCAAAGCTGCCTGGTGACCTTTGAAGATAACTCTAAATATTGGGTGCTTTGGAAGGACATCCAGCATGGTAAGTCTTCAGTCTTATCCCTTTGGCAAGTGTGCCTGAAACTAGAAGCGGGCAGACTCTAGGCTTATGTGGTCTGCTTTTCCCCTTTTTTAAATTCTCACAACAGCCTTGTGAAGTAGGACAGTGACTGACCCAAGGTCACATAATGAGCGTTGTGATTCACCTGGGATTTGAAGGTAGCTCTTTCCTGCAGATTTCTAACATCAAACACCCCACCCCTCTCCCTTTTTCACCATGGCTCCTCCTCCATCTGGTGGACCACTTAAGGGAGGGATATAAAGGAGCAAAGAACTGCTTGCTCTGCTGCCAGAAAAACTCAGCATTCAAGGAGGGTTCAGAGTTCAGCTGATTCTTTATTGGCTTCCCCCCCATTGTTTTACCAAACCCACGCTGGAACAGAAAAAGTGCAGCTCAAAACCACATTGAAATACCCTGGGGCAAGGCTGTACTGACAACAAAGTCACCCTGGAATGGCCATAAATCTCTGCAGAAGGTACCATCAAACCCGATGATCGCAGAAAGTGAAAGCGGCATGCAGTGTTGAGGGTACCATAAAATCCGATGATCAAAGAAAGTGAAATGCAGCATGCAACGCAGAGGGGAATTTCTGTTCCAACGTGGGTTTGGCAAAACAACAGAGGGAAAAGTCAATGCAGAACTGCCCATTGTCAGTGGTGTGGGTACCTTCCTGTTGGTGAACGCCACTGAGATGTTCACCCTCAAATTGGCCGGAGCTCAACCAATGGGCCAGGGTTAATTTATGGATTGCAATCAGATAGCTCACTCCCATTCTGAGATGTAAGTGACTGGAACTGGAGGCTAAGGAGGCTGAGCGACCTCGTGTGGGTACCCCTGCTGGCAGCCCAGAATTATCGGTGGGTGCAAGCCTTGTGTGATAATCCCCCTGAGGTCCTAGCAGCCCCGTGGGACTCAGCTCTGCAGGCGTTAGCAGAGCAGCGTAAGATTCTGCCTGGGGGGGGAGATGTAAAGATGTGGAGTGGGTTCACAGCAACCCTCCATCCCTTTACCAAGGTAGCACACTACTGTATCAGTATCAAAGGATTTCTTGTATTAGCCACAGGCCATAACAAAATTACAAAACGTTCAAATAGATCAGTAAAACAGTAAAATAGTACGATGCAATACATAAAGAAGTAACACCTAGAATCACATACCTAAAACGAGAATGGGTTAAAATAGCCTACGTGTTATAAGATTGGCCTCTATGGTGCCGCCCTGGCTTTAATCTTTTTGGCCGCAAGGGCGAAAAGGGAGACGCTATAGGTTATGAATTTGTCGGTATCTAATAACAAGAATGCAATCTTCTCATTTTCAGAACATGCTTTTATAGTAAATAAAATTCCTGTCAAGAATTTGTCTCTGGGTGCGTTGTATAACAGGCAGGCTAAGATACAGTGAGGGGGGTTTTCAATGGCAAGCCAACCGCAAATACATATACTGTGTTCTTTTGGGACTTGAAGAAATTGACCCTCCCGCAATGCTGTGTACATTGTTTGAAAACGGAGGGCAGTAAAAGGCACCCTGAGGTTATAGTTGGAAATATTATGTAGATAGGAATGATCAGATTTGACAAATCTGTACCATGGAGCCGTTTTCGACTTTATGATAGCAGAGTGGTCTATCACAGCATCTGATCTGAATATCCTCTCTTCCAGCTGGCGTGCCAGGGGAAGAACCCAAGTGTAACGTCTGTTTTGGAAAGACAACGGGCCCCTTAAATGATATCTTGATATGTGGAAAATGCGGTCTAGGTAAGAAGAGCCGTCTCTGGGGGTTCCATCGGAATGTGTTGGGAGAGGGGCGCAAGGCAGAGAGCAGCATCAAGAAGAGGAAGTTCCCTTGTGATTCAGCAAGCCTGGTGTGGCATTTTAATGTGATGCTCAGCAAGCTTTTCCTTGCTGTGCATTTTGTAGTTCCCTCTTTGGCCACAGCTTCTGAAGGTGCAGCCTTTTGCATAAAAACAGCAGCTGCATTGGCAGATCAGCTTGCCCAGACCTGGATAGCCCAGGCTAGCCCGATCTCATCAGATCATGGAAACTAAGCAGGGTCGGTCCTGGCTAGTATTTGGAAGGGCTACCTCCAAGGAATACTAGGGGCCTGATGCAAAGGCAGGCAATGGCAGACAACCTCTGAAACATCTCTTGTCTTAAAAAAAACCCACAAGTCTAGCTCGCCACCTAGTGGTGCATAATGCTAAAAGAGCTAGAACGTCTGGCTGCCAGACAATCTTTGGATCTTCTGGTTATACTGTGCACACGGCTATACGATATTTATAATTATTAGTATGTAGCTCCTCCCATCAGGAGGAGGAGCTTAGCTTCTGCTTCCACTGATGCAGCTCTGCCTCTTCCCTTCAGGTTATCACCAACAGTGTCACATCCCAGTAGTGGGCAGTCGCGAAGGCTTCTTAGTGACACCTTGGTTCTGCCGGAGGTGCATCTTTGCCTTGGCTGTGCGGGTGAGTGGTGATGTGTCCTGCCATCCTTCTTGTCTGGAGGGTGTCTTATTTGGTGGGTGCCTGGTGACAGTGTTCCCAAGCATGGCAATAGGTTGATCAAATCCAGTACTCTGTCTCCGACAGAGGACAGCTTGGGTGACCACGAGATCTTCACCAGTAGGACATAAAAGTAATAATCCTGCCTTCTCATTTTCCACCAGCTAGTAAGGGGGTGAGCATGAGATAAATGTATAAAGAGATGCTTCATGTGGAGAAAGACTGAGAGGTGTTTTTCCCCCTCCCTCTCCCAGAATACCAGAAATGGAGATTAAACTGTTGAGTAGTAGGTTCACGGCAGGCAAAAGGAAGTATTTCTTTTCAGAATTCACTTGTGGGACTCATTGCCATATGATGTAATAATATCGACCAGCGTTAATGGCTACAGAAGGGTTTAGACAACCTTGTGAGGTAGGTTAGGCTGAGAAAAAGAGTGACTGGCCCAACATCACCCAGTAACCATCACAGCTGAGGCACAAACTTGACCTTACATGGTTCACATAACCATCATGGGACCTTGCAGTTAGATGGCGGCTGCAAGTTCCCTGTGGGAACCCAATTCTGAACCATCGTAGGAGCCTTATTCAGATTGGGCCCCTTGCACTGTGGTCCCAATCCAAACCAGGCCCTTTCAGCCCTTCAGACTTGAGTTCCCATTTTGCTACAAGGCCCCATAATGGTCACATGTTACACGGAATGTCTGGTTTGGACCTGAATGGATATTTGAACCTGGGTCTCCCCAGTCTTAGTCCAATAGTCTCCTCAGCAGAAATAATATGTCTTCTTTATTTGTACCCTAATGCTGCGGCTGTTGTTGCTTTCACAGAAAGGTGGGGCCCTGAAGAAAGGAGCCATCGCAAGGACTCTGCAAATGGTCAAGATGGTTTTGTCATACAACCCGGAGCAGCTAGAATGGGACTCGCCTCACAGAACCAATCAGCAGCAGTGCTACTGTTACTGTGGAGGCCCCGGCGAGTAAGGCTGATTGGAGCATGGGGTGAATGAGCTAGCCAAAAAAAGAGAGATGAGTGGACAGTAGCTGGGCTGTTGGGAGATGTCACTATGAGAGCCATTGTGGTATAGCGGTTAGAGTGTGACACTAGGATCTGGAAAGCCCTAGTTCAAATCTCCACTCTGCCATGGAAGTTCACAGGGTGACCATGGGCCAGTCACGCTCTTTCAGCCTAACCTACTTTACAGGGGGGTTGTTGTAAGGCTAAAATGGAGGGGGGGGATGTTATAAGGTGCTTTGGTTCTCCACTGTAGGAAAAGTGAAGTATAAGTATTTAAATGAATGAAAGTCTGATGGGGGGGAGCCTGTTGCATCACCTTCTTTCTCTTCCGTAGGTTTCTAGTGTTCATATTTTGGCTTGGGAGGGTGAGGCGGTAGAAACAATGTGCAGCCAGAGTGTACGTGACTCTAGTGGCATCATTCCTCCTGCGTCCTCATTCCAATCTAGTTTTGTTTTGTTTCCCTCCCAGATGGTACCTAAAGATGCTGCAATGTTACCACTGCCGGCAATGGTTCCACGAAGCTTGCACTCAGTGCCTTAGTGACCCCATGATGTTTGGGGACCGGTATGTTTGTCTGTTAGAGGAATGTTCACCTTTGTTTTCTACTTTTCCTTTCTTCTGTCACTTCTGTTACCTGATGCTTCGTTAACTTATGGAACTCACTGCCACAGGATGTAGTAATGGCTGCTAACACAGCTGGCTTTAAAAGGGGTTCAGAAAAATTTATGGAGGCTGGCTCTGTCTGTAGCTGTAAACCATGACGACTAAATAGAACTTTCATGTTGAGAAGTGGTATACACTGAATGCGAATTCCTAGGGGTGGGGGGGAACAATTGAGGGATGCTTTGACTGCTGTGCCTTGTTTGGGGGCCCAATGCGGTCATGGAGTTCGACACTGTGGGAAACACAATGCTTGGGTCTCATCCAGCAAGGCTCTTCTTAGGTTCTGCTTACAAGACACTCAAGGTTACTTGCAATCAAGATTAAAAATTGTATAACGTTCAATATAAAAGTACGATAAACATCACCATAAACACACACATTTCAGGGGGAAAAAATCTGTTGCTGCTTCTCTTCCTCTCCATCTTGTGATCTCCTCCTTCTTCATATTATTGTTGTAGCAGCTGTTGTTATTAAATAATAGGTTCCATCAATGTGTAAGATCCTTTACAGCGTGCCAGGAGGCAGGTCAGTTTCATTGGAAGAACTCAGGAGGGCACATTACAGAGTCCTTGCAAGGTGACCAGGTCCACCAGAAGGACTTTCCATCCTATGTGCACTGTGACTTCCCCACTGGGAACTCGGGTTCCAGGAGTACAGGGGCCTGATTTGAATTGGGACTGTGATGTGCCAAGAGAGGTGACTTAAGCCTCTTCCTGTGTGCTTCAAAAAAGTTATTATACTACCAGTACTGGAAAAGGTGCAGAAAAGGGCAACTAAAACGATTATGGGGATGGAACACCTTCCCTATGAAGAAAAGTTAGGGCTCTTTAGCTTGGAGAAACAACGACTGAGGGGTGACATGGCAGCGGTTTACAAAATTATGCATGGGATAGAGAAGGTAGGGAAAGAAGTCCTTTTCTCCCTTTCTCACAATACAAGAACTTGTGGGCACTCAATGGAATAAATGAGCACTAACCTCATTAGAAGGAGCTGAGGTGGCTCAAGTGGTTAAGACGCTGAACTGCAGGCTCTGGAAGGTCGGTAGTTCAGCAGTTCGAGACCCGGGTTGCCGCATGAAGGAGTGAGCTCCCGTCTGTAGTTCCAGCTCCTGCCAACCTAGCAGTTCGAAAGCAAGAAACTGCAAGTAGATAAATAGGTACCACTTCGGTGGGAAGGTAACAGCGTTCCGTGCGCCTTGGAGTTTAGTCATGCAGGCCACATGACCATGGAAACGTCTTCGGACAGTGCTGGCTCTTCGGCTTGGAAACAGAGATGAGCACCGCAACCCCAGAGTCAGACTCAATTGGCTTTCGAGCAAGGAAACCTTTACCTTTACCTTTTAAACCTCATTAGAGCAGATAAAAGGAAGTATTTCTTCACCCAAAGAGTAATTAACATGTGGTTTTGGCCACTATGTGACACAGAGTGTTGGACTGGATGGGCCATTGGCCTGATCCCACATGGCTTCTCTAAAGTTCTCTTTCTCCCAGCCTAAACTGAGCACACCTCAGCCTTCATCTTTCTTTCTAGGTCTCCTCATAGGTACAGCTCAGAGTTTGGGAGATGCATGGCACGAGCCTGCACTGCAGTGGCACATATGTGAATAATGTATTGGGAATGAGTGCTTGGAGATCCATGTGAGCAACCTCTCATGCAGGTCACCCGTTATTTGCATGCAGGTCCCAGCATTACCACATGGAAATGACTCCTGTGTGGCTTCATATTGAAGAGAGCCTTGGGGAAGACTTCCCTCCTTCTAATTCTCTGTTTCTGTCTTTCAGATTTTATGTTTTTTACTGCTCGGTGTGTAACCAGGGCCCAGAGTACATCAAACGTCTGCCTTTGAGATGGTAAGATCTTGACAGGGACTTCCCTGGTATTTCATAGCATGCAGGCAATCCATCACAATACAGCTGCCTTTCTGAAAATATATTTTGGTTGTCCAACATGCCTCCCCCCAACATTGGTTATTAAGGGTTTAGTTCTCAAAGTCATTTGCCCTGCATTTTTCACATAATATGTTGAGGAGAACCAACATAGCATAACAGTAGTTAAAGCAGTCCAGTATTCTTGACAGAACCGCTAACAGGGCACGGAGGTAAAAGCGTCCTCCTGTGCCAAGTAACCAATCTTCAGAGATGCACTGTCTCTGGACATGAACGTTCTGTTGAGCATCCCGCTGATCTCTCCAGAGCCCCAGCAAAGTTGCTGCTGCCAAGGCAGGGGTCCCCAACATGGTGCCCTTGGCACTGGCCAACCCCTTTCTTGGTTCCCACCAAGTGTTTTTAGAAAGCGGGTAGGGCAGGATGGAGCTCTTGTCAGTAGCTCTTCTGACTTGCCACTGAAGACTTGATTGGCTGCCCTGACCTGGATAGCCCAGGCAAGCCCAATCTCATCAGATCTCGGAAGCTAAGCAGGGTCGACTCTGGCAAGTCCTTGGATGGGAGACCTCCTTGGAATACCAGCAGTCAGGAGGCGGGGGCAAGGCCTTATTCAGCCACCTCTCTGAATATCCTCCGGGCCCCCAGTAGGGCTCGGTCCCCAGAGGTCGCCATGACTTTCAGGTGCACACACACACACACATGCACGCACATATGAAAAATACAAAAATATACCAGAAAAATACCTGATTGGCTAATATAGATTAAAATAACATTATTTCAGTGGGAGCTGCCGCAGCAGTGTTTACTTGTTGTCTCTCACCCCTCTTTCCTAGTGTATTTTTAATCACCCCTTTTCTCCCCTGCACTTGAGCTTTCTTTGTGTGTGTGGCTCCGCCTTCTGCAGGAGACATTTTGTGGTTGCGCCCACTACCCAGAATTCCCAAAGGTGCCCCCAGGCTCAAAGCGGTTGGGGACCCCTGAGCTAAGGGTTATGGCGCGCATAGCTCAAGCATAGCATGACACACAGACAAGCTTTGCATTACTGCATCCCGGCTCTATATGTGATTCCAAGCATGTATGTAACATTCAGGGATGGAGTAGCTGGATTTCTTAATCGCTCGGAAAAAAGGAGTTTTGTTTTCTTTAAGTGCAAAATTAGGGACAGGCATTAGTCCACATCTAGATTCTTCATCTGTTTATTTAAAGAGTTTATCTACTGCTCTCTGTTTTTCATTATGTCATGGTCTGCCCATTGTACTGGGAACCGAGATGTACATTCTTGACTGCAATAATAGGTCAATTGCAAAAATTTTCTGACACTGATAAATTAATATTTCTGCTGTCAGACGCAGACCTTACAGTTTCCTATAGGGTAGTATTCTTCGCCTTAGCGGCTAGGAAAATCAGGGCCCAGAACATAGGAAAATGAAATGAAATTGAACTGTAAAACAGCAATGCGTAAAACAGCAATGTTTGAGGCTGTGGAAATGGGTATCTATATTTAAGATTTTAATTAATTTAAATACTGAATATGCAGGTTTTAGAGGTTACTATACTTTAAATCTGATTCAAATTCCAGTGCCGTAAGTTGTCTAATTTGTATATTGTTTAAATTTAAATTTTAAATTGTAATGGCCAATGTCTACACAATAAATGTAACTACTACTGCTGCTGCTGCTTTCTGACTTTAATTCCCAAACAGCTACATAAAAACAAATAAAATGACAACTCAGAGTTACACTGCCCTGGAACATGGAGGTTCTGTTGAGCCATCCGGTTGATCTCATAGATGGTCAGGCTTCATAGAAACAGAGTTCATCCTAAGCAAAAATCACAACAGTTTATTGGTTAAAGCTCGATAAGGCTCTCAGGAGCCAAGCAGTAGTGGATGGGTTCAGCCTGAACGGTGCCAGTGGGTTACCTCAGTGCAAATACCCCCCCCCCCCAGTATTCCTGCACTATGAGGGTCTCGGCTGTTGTTTCCTTTGCATATGCAGGGTCGACGTTGTGCACCTGGTGCTCTACAACTTGGGCGTGCAGAGCAAGAAGAAATATTTTGACTTTGAGGAAATCTTGGCCTTTGTCAATCACCACTGGGACCTTTTGCAGCTCGGAAAGGTAAACTGCTGGGAGCTGTGGTCGTTTGCTAATGCCTTGGGTTGGGGAGAGCTTAGCATCTTGAAGCTGAAACTTGGGTTCCCCCATATGGCCATGAGGTGAATAACCTCTCTGAGCAATATATACAAGCTGACTGCACGAGTTGCCATTTATCATTTTAACATTTCAAATGTTGTATTGTTCCCTGCCCGTTCCAACTCCTGTCAAAGACAGGAGTCTGCAGGACCATAGCTATTTCAGATAGGATGGGGAAAGGATTGAGGACCCTACGGTGTGTAGTGTCTCCGATTTAGGAGGTCTCTGGTTCAAATTTCAGCCACAAACTCATCCAGTGGCCTTAGACAAGCCAACTACTGTCGGTCTCAATTCTCCATCTGCAATGTGGGGAACAGTAATGCAATGTGGCCTACCTTCCAGGGCTGTTGTAAAGACTGCTGTGATAATATGTGTGAAATGCCTTTCCCCGTATGTTCCCTCAAGAGCACTACGGTCTGGGGCCCAAAATTTACTAACTGTGCCGGGCCCCAAAGATGCAAAACTGGCCACTACGAGGGCTAGGGCTTTTTCGGTGGCAGCCCCCACCTGGTGGAATGAGCTCCCGGAGGAGATCTGGGCCCTGCGGGACTTGATGCAGTTCCGCAGGGCCTGCAAGACGGAGCTCTTCCACCAGGCTTTCGAGTAGGGGCCGCCCCCCCCCCGTTATATTACCATCATTGGGGGGGGGGGAAGGCCCTAGGAAGAAGGAAAATCTGAATTTAACATCTAACATCGAAGCCTGAATGCCTACCGGGAATGTTTGAATGTGGCTGTCATCTCTCTGAGGTTCAGGAATTTGGGAACTGAGGACCTTGAGCACTTTATTGAGCACTTTATTGTACTGAGATGGGTTTTTAAATTGTATAATAATGTTTTAAATGCTATCAAATGTATTGGATGTTTTATTACTGCAAGATTCCTTGCCATGTAAGCCGCCCTGAACCCTACGGGGGAGGGCGGGGTTATAAATTTAATTAATAAATAAATAAAATAAATAAACACGGTGTGTACTACATAGATTCAAAATTGTTATTAGTAACACCTTTATTTTGATAAAAGTTTAACAAATTGTATCAAAGTGCTTGTATCAGTCTACTGCAGGTTAATCTTTTGCTGTTTTGCATTGGCTTAAGGCAGAGGTGTCGAACTCATTTGTTATGAGGGCCAGATCTGACATAAATGAGACCTTGTTGGGCCGGGCCATGTGTGTCATAAAATGTAATGCCAGGTAGCAGAGATATAAACTTTATAAAAGGGCACAAACACAAAGGTTTTTTTTTTTGCTTAAAATAAAAACATGCTTAAAACATAAGCACTCTTGCAATATTTTGTTTATTTAACAGTGTCTGATAACTCATACCTCTTGCTCTGAATTATTGCATCAAAATGTCTGTGCTGTTGCAATCTTGAGTATGCTGTTCAGGTGTGTATCTGTAAACTGCAAACCTACGATGATGCAGCAGCAGCGGCAGAACTGGAAGAAGCAGCAGAAGACAGCCGGTTCCACTGTGGGCCTGATAGAAGTCCTCCGGGGGCCTGATCCGGCCCCCAGGCCACATGTTTGACACCCCTGGTTTAAGAGGATTTACCCCTCTCCAGCACCATAAATCCTGGTAGTTGCCTGCCATCCAAGCCAATTCTTACAATGCATTTGTCTTAAATTCTGCTTCCCAGCTGACTGGAACCCCTGTGGCGGAGCGAAGCACTCACCTTCTGGATGCACTGAACAGCTACAAAAGCAGGTAAGTGTCAAAGGCTGATTCTCCATCCAACTAATTACTGTAGTAATTACAGCTTGGGGTTAAGACTGGAGAGAGTGGTGTTCAAATCCTTGCTCACCCGTAAGGCTCATGGTGTGACCTTGGGCCAGGAGGATTGTCCCTCAATCTTACTGGTCTTTCTATCTAATTTCTGCTTTGAGGAGGTGATGTCTTGCCATCAAGTACAGTTGGATGATCCAGTCACTTTTGATGCAGAATAAATAACCAATCGGGCTTCTTGCCACTTCCCTGCTTGATTTGTTGCATCATCCCTCCTTGCAATCAGCCTCTGCTGGGAGTGGATCATTCAGTCATATTTCTGCAGATTATCCAATCATATTTCTGCAATGAAGGTGAGTGAATGATGCAACAGGTCCTGCTGCAGAGGTACCTTGGAGGAGACTGCCTGTTGCAACCCGGTATGAGTCACGGTTCTGGGCTTGATTCCCTCTGTTCAAGAGGCAGTCCTGAACAGAGTCCTGCCAAAAGACTTGATGGTGGGCTCCTTTGTGGGCATGTGAGTCTTCATCCTGCACACTTGTGCCCTTTTTGGGTGAAAGAAGGACACGTGTTTTCATTTTTAAAAAAGTTTTACCCTAGCTATCACAAGTTTCAGTAACAGAACTGTAGAGCTATAGCAATTCCTGTGTAGGTTTGATCTGATTTGGCTGTTTTCATTCCTTTTTTATTCTGGAGGTTCTCATCATAATCGGTTTTGGTCTGCCTCATTCTCATTGCTGCTGTTTGTGATTTTTTTGTTTTTGTTTCTTTTATGCCATAGTTACACGGTCCATATGCCATATATGTCCAAGTGACAAAAACCCTTAAAAAATGTGTTAATGGGAAGCTGTAATGTACAAAAAGAGAAACTCACAGATTCATTTCATGCAATGGAGAAATGAAATTCAAGTGGGGATATGCTAATTGAACCAGTCAGTTGGTTAAATTCAGTCTCTCTACCTTAGGCTTGTCCATCTTCATACAATGCCATTTTAATTTTTAGGTATTATATTAGCACACATATATTAATAAATGTTTTCCTGTAGTTAACTATGAGTCCCCCTGCTGTAAACCAAGCATGCAAACAAGCCCTCTGTGCATCACAGGCTTGAAAGACTAATGGATTCTCTGTTCCCTCCCCCCCACACACACTGCCTTACAGGTTTCTCTGCGGGAAGGAAATCAAGAAGAAGAAATGCATCTTCCGCTTGCGCATCCGGGTCCCGCCGAACCCGCCTAGCAAGCTCCTTCCTGAAAAGGTTGATAGCCGAGTCTCTGAGTCGAAGAAAGGCGGGGGCAGCAAGCATTCCCACAAAAACAGGTCTGCATCCTGACAGAGCGGCACCCAAGGCTGGATCTACATATGCAGTGGAATGAGCTGGTAGAGTCCTCTGGAACCAGTATGGACTATACCACTTCAGTCTGCAGGGGGTGCTGGTGGGGAGAATCACACTCTTAAAAAAAATTGCTCTGCTATGTTAAGAACGCATCAGCTCATCCAGAACTGCCAGTGAGTTCGACTAGAACCTTTCTTTCTCGTGTACTGTTTTTCTGTGCCCTGGATGGTCCAGGCGAGCCCGCTCTCCTCAGAGCTCAGGAGCTAAGCAGGGTTGGCCCTGGTTACTACTTGGACAGGAGACCACCAAAGAAGTCCAGGGTCTTCTCTTGCTTTGGAAGTCTTCCGGTTGGCTGCAGCTTGATGGCACTTTCCACCCCCACTGGTTTCCTGCATGCAGGGAGTTTTTGTGCGGTGATACCTCCCCCCAACTGCAGTCTAAAATTATGCAGTCTGTTCTACCATTTCAGGGCTTGGTGCAATGTGTAGATCACTTTACCTCATACTCAAGAGGCTGGGGGAAGAGGGAAGGTGGCATAATATCGCCTGATCTCATCAGATCTCGGCAGCTAAGTAGGGTCATCCCTGGGCAGTACTTGGGTGGGAGACCTCCAAGGAAAACTGCAGAGGAAGGCAGTGGCAAACCACCTCTGCTTCTCACTTGCCTTGAAAGCCCCTTGTTGGGGTCACCAGAAGTCAGCTGCAACTTGACAACAAAGGCTGGGGTCTCTGTCAGTCATGAAAATGGCAGAAACGGGCCACCCGCTGACAATGCTGCAGTCTGTACTTATTCAGGGGACTCCATAGGCATGCAGAACAATATGACTTTGCTTATTTACTAAAAAACAAAAAACTGGGTGGGGAAACCCCAGAAAAGCAGTCTATTGAGGGCTGAACATGCTGTAGTGCTAAGAGGTATTAAAAATTAGGTGAAGGGAGTGGGGCAGGGAAGGGAAATTAGCCTGCTGTAGTCCCTGAGTGCACACTGAATCCTTTCGACTTGGAGGTGGTGGGTTGGGGTTCCACAAAAACGCATCACCCATCTGTCAGCTGTGTACAGATGCTGCAACTGTGACTTCTTTGGTTTTGTTTTTCTCCAGTTCACTGCCACATGAACTCCAGCAGGAACGAAGGCAGGCAGCCCGGAGGAAAAGATCCAAATTTCTCTTGGAAGATGCTATCCCCAGTGTTAGTTTTTTGATATTTTTAACAAGAAGCTATCTGTCACTTTGATTTCCTGGAGGCGTTGTTAAATCTTGGGATTTATTCTACCTGGAGTGATAATACTGTTTTGACACCTGGAAAATGGAAATGGTCTCTGCTATGGGCCATACTTATAATTTCCTGGCTGTCAGTTGTACTTTCTTTTGAGCGTGTGCAAGGGAGAGTTCTTGCTTTTTTCTTGAAGCACAGCCTGCAACAGACTGAGGTGGTAGAGAAGACTGTACCATGTCAGTTTGCAGGTTATGTATTTTTCATTGATGCCATACATTTTTTTTAAAAAAAGGCTCCCTCAAGTTGAAACTTTAAAGACTGGGAGAGGCCTGGGCCAGACCCTTTCTACCTGATGTTATAACTTCTTCCTTGCGGCGGAGGGTGGTTATATAGAGGAAACTTCCAGTATGTGATATGCACTTTGCAATCTGACTTGGTTTAATCCGCTCCAGCACCTTGGGATTGCTGCTGCTTGGAAAAAAAAGACAAAGTAGGAAATGAGAGATCAGTGCAAATTACTACGAACACTGTCAATCGGATGAATAGAGATCCATTTTCTAGTTGATTCGAATCAAGTTTAAATCATCGTGAATAAAACGGTCCGAACATAGCTTCCACAGTGCACAATGAAAACACTGGCTGCACTCAGAAATCACAGCAAGCCTCAGTTTGTTCCTGACGGGCATGACCACAGCTTTGCTGTGTCCGCAAACTGCAGTTTGCAGTTCTGTGTGAGTGGTGGTACCTGGGCAAGCTAAAGATTGCTTCCTTGCCCCAAACTGAAATTCTAAACTACAGTGTTACCCCAGTTTTGGATTGTGGTTTGTGGAGAGGAAAGAAATCCCAGTTTACCTGGGCTCCTGCATTCAGCTATCACAGCAGACTGGAATGTGATCAAAGGCTTCCCAAACTAAGAAATTTTCAGCTGTGCTTGTGGCAAAAGGGGGAGGAAGAAACACAGGGACACAACAAAGAAGTCATGTTCATGCTTGTCAGGAACATACAAAGGTTTGCCATGATGTCTTAATACTGCCATTTTTGTTCATAACATCTAACCTACATTGCAAGATCACCTGAGAGCTTCTGGCTGCAGCTGACACAAAGCCAGCTGTTGTTGAGAGGAATCCAGTTAAATTCATTAGCAGTCCAATAAGGGCAGACAAAAGCACTTAATGCAACCAATACCCAGCCTGTGGAATGCAACGCCACAAGATGTGGCAATGGTCATTGGTTTAGATAACTTGGTTTAGTATTAGCTTTTTCAATTGCTCCTCCATTTATTGTCTCATTCTTGTGCTGTTGTCCCATTTTATTATTTATCTTGTGGGGTGGTGGTGTTGTTTTTTGGCACATCGCTTTGGAATTTGTCTCAAAGCGGCCTACACACTTTCACAAATAAATAAGTATGGGTGTATTCTTTGCCAGGAGATTTGCCTAAATTCTGGCATGCTGAGCTGAGCACCGCCTGGCATTTCTGTATGGTCACCCTCTGGATTTTGCTGTCTGCCAGCTCTAAGGAGGGAAATACCTGGAGGTTTGGGGGGGGGATTCTGAGCGGGGGGGGGGGGGGGGCAGCAGGGGTCAAGCCTTCCCGGATTTCTCAGCAGGGGCAATGCCCCCCTACTTCCAGGTAGTTACTGAGTATCCAGTACATAAGAGGTGTCATTTATTAGAGGTGGTCTAAGATAAAGGAGCTCCTGCCAACCTAGCAGTTCGAAAGCGAGAAATTGCAAGTAGATAAATAGGTACCACTTCGGTGGGAAGGTAACAGCGTTCCGTGTGCCTTGGTGTTTAGTCATGCCGACCACATGACCACGGAAATGTCTTCGGACAGCGCTGGCTCTTCGGCTTTGAAACGTAGATGAGCACCGCAACTCTAGAGTCGAAGTCGACTGGCTTTCGAGCAAGGGAACCTTTACCTTTAAGATCAAGGAGACCAGAGTTCAAATCCTCACTTAGCCATGAAGCACACTATGTGACCTTGAGCCAGTCACACACTCAGCCTAAGCTGTCAGGAAAAGAGACAGAAGGACTTTTTCCTTTCATACACAAATGAAACATTTGTGCATATTGTCTCAGTGCAGAAGTCCATGACATCTTTCCCCTCCTCTTACAGATTCCCCTTTATTTGAGATTCAGAATAGTACAAGTGAAAAAATTATGTTTTTAAACCACTTGACTGTTGACGGCATGCGGTTTTGGGAAATGTAAATATTTTTATATTGGAATAATTTAATATAGATAACCAAGTATGGCCATGGACCAGGTTCATACCTGTCCCCCCCCCACCCAAGGGAATTCAGAAGTCTATGCCCCTGCGGGGAGGTGGCCAGCCAAGCACACGTAGGTCACAACGCATAGCTAGTAAGCCCCATTCATCTATCAGAATTGCAAGGGGGGCCAACCTACTTTATGGGGTATAATGGTGCAGATCTTGCTCAGAAGGGTGGGACTGGACTTGAATCATCCCTTCCAGCTTTAGATGGCTCTATAAATTCATGCATCCATCCTGTTTCTTCTGCCCGCCCCCCCAGAGTGATTTCGCCTCTGCTTGGAGCACAAACCATCACCTGGCCAGCATCTTTGATTTTACTTTGGATGAAATTCAGAGTCTGAAAAGGTAACTTCTTTAGTGGCATGTATGTGTGTGAGAGAGAGAATGAGAATATGTATATGTAATATAAATGTAATCTATGCAACGAAGCAAGGCTTCTCCAAAAACAGAGTGGTATATTTAGGCTTCTGCTAAAATAGAGTGAAGTAGGACTTCTGCCAGGGTGGTATCTTGGCTAGTGTTGTCAGGCTAGGATTTGGGAGGTCCAGGTTTGAATGCCCACCTTGCCATGGAAAATTGTGCCATGACCTTGGGCCAAGGTCACTCTCAGCCCAAGCTACCCCATACGGCTGTGTGGTGATGATACAATGGCAGAGGATAGAATTATATTGTAAACTGCTTTGGTTTTCTGTTAGAAAGAAAAGTGGGGTATACACTATCTACTTGAAAATAAATAACAATGACTACTTGATGATGGACGGAAAAAATGCACTTGAAATCCTGAAAAAGAAAGGAAGATACAAGATTAACTGCAGGGCTGTCGTAAGAGGGGGCTGCCGAATTCAACAGGAGAACATCTGCTTTGCATGAAGAAAGTCCTGGGTTCAATCCCTGGTATCTCGCAATTAAAATGGATCATGGGTTATAGTGTCAGGAAGAGGCCTTCCTCTGCATGTCTGATATGGTAAGGTAGACTTAGATGTAACTTGCTTGACAAAGGTCACTGCTGTTCACATGTAACAGCAAACACAGGTACATCTTGTAAGAAAGTGCCAGTATGTGTTCGCTTTACAAATGAAACCAGGGACAATGCTCTCTAAGCTGTGGAGTCTTGTGAGCAAAAATTCTACTTTGTGAGCTCCTGGCATGAAAGTTGTGAGCGAGCCATTTGGCTGCTGCATCAATTAGTTTGCTCTGGAGTCACCCTTCCTGAGCAAAGACGAAAATGTGTGAGCCGGAGGCTCAAAAACCGTGAGCTAGTTCAAACTAACTCATCTTAGAGGGAACACTGCCAGTACCTGGAGAAATGTGAAGTTTTGATCACACATTCAGCTGCACATGCACATGTGAATGATAAAGAAAAATCAAATGTACCCTGTACCAATGTTCCCTCTAAGCTGTAGAGTCTTGTGAGCAAAAATTCTACTTTGTGAGCTACTGGCATTAAAGTTGTGAGTGAGTGATTTGGCTACTGCATACATTAGTTTGCTCTGGAGCCATCCTTCCTGAGCTGAGACAAAAATGTGTGAGCCAGAGGTTAAAAAACTGTGAGCTAGCTCACACTAACTCAGCTTAAAGGGAACACTGCCCTGTACCCAGATTGTACGTGTGTTCCCTGGCTCATTGGTGGAGGTACAGCTTTATATCCAAAAGACATCCAGTCCAGTCCCTGGCATTTCCACCTTAAGGATCTCAGGAAATGTCTAAGGCACTGAAAAGCCCCTGCTAGTCAAAGTATTTTGTTACAAAAGAAAATAAAAAAATTGCAACTGTCTTCTTGCTTTCCTTTCAGTGCAAGTTCGAGCCATACATTCCTTTCGGATGTAGATTCTACGGATGCTGCCAGCACTTCAGGTTCAGCGACGACCAGCCTGTCCTACGAATCGAGGTAAGAGCTTTGCAAGCATCTTCTGTGTTTCTGCATTCTGAGGGACCGTGGCTCAGTGGTACAGCATCTGCTTGGCAGGCAGAAGTTTTGAGGTTCAGTCTCCAGCATCACCAGTTAGAAAGATCAGGTAGTCTGTGATGCAAAAGACCTTTACCTGAGACTCTGGAGAGTAACTGCCAATTGGATTAAACAACCCTGACTAAGATAAACCAATAATCTGACTCAGCCCTGTCCACATGTTACAGTAATGCATGTTCATTGGGCAGGAGCCGTGGCTTAGAGGCAGAGTATCTGCTTGGCATGCAGAAGGTCCCAGGTTCAACCCCCAGCATTTCCAATTAAATGGCCAAGGCAATAGGTGATGTGAAAGGCCTCTGCCTGAGACTCTGGAGAGCTGCTGCCGGTCTGAGTAGACAATGCTGACTAAGAGGGACTGATAGTCTGAAGGTGAACAGGTATATCTATGGCTATGGAACTTCCATGTGCAAATGAAGTGTATCTGAATATCAGAAGATAGACATTGATTAATTAGTTAAATGTTGCAATCCCACTTTTAATCTTGTCTTAACATATATGAATGAATAATAATTTACTGCCCAGCCCAAATCCAGCCCTGAGGCTGCCATAGAATTCTGTCTCATCATAATGCCGTCTGGGCTGGGAACAGCCTCACTTAGAGAGGCAGTTTTGAACGGCAGAATTTTCATTTGCAATGTGAGGATGCTATTCCTGGCCTGCCTTACAGTTCTGTTGTCAGGACGGAAGTCTGTGAAGTATTCTGAACAGTCTAAAAGCATGATATAAACGATAAGCCTTGCCACCCATAATATTTACCATTGTTTCTTTAAAACATTTATTAGCTGCCTTTCTAATTTACAAAACTGAAGGCGGATTACAGTGTAAATAGAGTATAAAACGTAAAAATACACCACACCCCAGAAAGGCCATAAATTAAAATCACAATTTACAAGATTATGCATGGGAAAGAACAGGTAGAGAAAGAGGTACTTTTCTCCCTTTCTCACAATACAAGAATTTGTGGGCACTCCATGAAATTGCTGAGCGGTCGGGTTAGAACGGATAAGAGGAAGTACTTCTTCACCTAAAGAGTGATTAACACTTGGAATTCACTGCCACAGGAAGTGGTGGCGGCTACAGGCATGGACGGCTTCAAAAGGGAATTAGATAGGCATATGGAGCAAAGGTCTATCAGTGGCTATTAGCCACAAAGTATAGATAGGGGCTCTGGGGCAAGTGAAGCTCTGTCTTCTTGGTGCTTGGGGGGGCCAACAGTGGGAGGGCTTCTAATGTCCTGGCCCCACTGGTGGACCTCCTGATGGCACCTGGTATTTCTGGCCACTGTGTGACACAGAGTGTTGGACTGGATGGGCCTTTGGCCTGATCCAACATTGGCGTCTCTTATGTTCCTATGAAAACTGCCCAAAGGCAGAAACCATCTACCGCTACCTTCTCAAGATCAAGAGCGATGGGGTCAGGTACACCTCCTTGAGGAGATAGTTCCATAATCGTGGGGCTGCCACTGAAATATTACTGAGTTGGTGTCATTACAAGTATGAGCTTTGGGGTCCAGAAGGTCTCCCTTCAAATCCCGCCTCTGACATACACTAATTAGGCTGGGAGCTGTCTCTCGGCCTCCTTCCCCCATCAGCAATATTTATTTATTTATCTATCTGAACTTCTACCCCACCCTCCCAGCCAGAGCTGGCTCAGGGTGGCTTATGTAAAACAGATAATGACATTAAAAACATAAGTTACAATTAAAACAATTCTAAAACCGTAATAAAGTGCTAGTAATCGATGGTAATCATTGCTGTCCATAAACGGTAGCAGCCATCATTCACAGTTCTCAGCTCGCAGTCAGCTCACAGGGTTCGTTTTGGTTGTTCTTGCAGTACTTGCTGTTCTTTAGGGTGTTGGTGGCAGTTTCCGGAATCCAGGGCCCTCTCCCATTCAACCATCCGAGGTTCTTCAATGGTGATGGTGGCGGCTCCCAAAAGCCTGGTGGAAGAGCTCCGTTTTACAGGCCCTGCGGAACTGTAGAAGGTCCCGCAGGGCCCTGATCTCCGGGAGCTCATTTCACCAGGTTGGGGCCACTACCAAGAAAGCCCTGGTTCTGGTCATCGACAGCCTAGCTTCCAGCACTTCCTTAAGACCTGGGAGGGCCAGCCAGTTCTGAGCCCCTGATCACAGTGCTCTCTGGGGGACTTATGGGGAAAGGTGGTCCCTCAGGTATGTAGGTCCCTGACCATGTAGCATCTGGTATGCTATTGGCAGCCAGTGCAATGCCTTCAGCACAGGCTGTATGTGCTCCCATCTAGAGAGCCCCATCAAAAGCCTGGCCACGGCATTTTGCACCAGCTGCATCTTCCGGATTTGAGACAAGGGCAGCCCCATGTAGAGAGCATTACAGTAGAGCATATGAGGATAATCATACTGGCCTACCTTACAGGACAGCTTGGACACTAGAAATGCTGGATATATATTAATTGCTTATGTATTATGATTTATTACCTTCTAGCAGAAGGAATGTGGGCAGTCAGAAGCGGAAACTATCGGTTAAGACTTACACAGCAATAGAAGCGAAGCAGAAATGCTTGGAACACCCCCAGAAAACCACCCCTGGTTGCTCCTCGGAGGATAGCGAGGCAGCCTGCGGCCCTGATCGCCTTGAGGCCGCCATTGACAGCCACACCTTTGAGAGCATGAGCGAAGATGACTCGTCTCTCTCACACCTCAAGTCGTCCATCAACAACTATTTCGGCGCTGCTGGGAGGCTGGTGTGCGGGGAGAAGTATCATGTGTTGGCTCGTAGGGTGACCCCTGAGGGCAAAGTTGAGTACTTGGTGGAATGGGAGGGGACTACTCCCTACTGAGATGGCGGGCCTTGAGAAAGGGAGGGAAACTACTCAAAGGGATCATGGGATTGGAAGCTGAAACTGGATTGGGTGTTGACTGCCTTAGACATCTCTCCTTAATGCTTATCTGGGGCATCTGGGGCAAGTGTCCCCTTCGTAGTACCCGCTGTGGTGTTGGGAGAGACCTAGACGAGGGTAGTCAGGCAGGCCACGATGGGAAATGTGATTGTGTCATGAGCTGGAGAGGATTTGTGTTGCTTTTTAATGCTGCTTCTTTGTGAGGGGAAGAAATGGGTGGGTTGGGCCAGTACAAATAATAATATCCAGTCATGTTCTCATAAAATGGCCTCTTCCAGAGAAATCCTTTTTTGCTCCCTGGTGACAAATGGGGCAGTTGGGCCACCTTTGGGGGATGAACAGGTGGCTGGAAACCAGCCTGTTTCTTTCATTAAGCAGAGGTCCTCCATCTTGTCAAACAGAGGAAGGAGGCTGAATGGTGTAAGAATGGGTGTAGCACAATGGGTGACGGGTGTGAGCCATGAGGTCCTGCGTTTAAACCTCGCTCTGGCGTGGAACTCATTAGAAAGGAAGGCTACCACACTCTCAGCTTTGGCCCATTTCCCCTCCTCCTTGCTCCCACACCCTAGCCTGGAGATGTGTGGCCTAACCTGCAGGGTGGTTTTAAGGATGACTGAAATAACATGCCAGAAGGGGTTTGAGCACTTGTAAACTTGTTATGTTAATGCTGTATGCGACAGAAGGGCGCTTGGCAAAGAGTCACAAACTATCTCCACCTCTGAGGGGGGGAAATGGTAAACATGCTGCTACAGTGGACAACCAAACGTGGCTATTTCGTTTACACTATAAAGTTAATTTGGTTTGAAACCAGTGAGTGGAGTCAGTTTGCAGCACTTCAAAATATGTGTCTGACCCCAGAAATCTTGACAGGGGACCAGGATTGAGGGGACCAGGGTTGAGGACCAGTCTGAGAGGAAGAATATGCTCAGGGAGGTCATTGGAAGATTCCTCTAAGAGCTCCCTGCAATCCTTTCCAGAGAGAACAAGTTCATCATATTCTGTGGTTGGCAGAGGCACCCTGGGAAGAGGGAACATTGTCACAGCCAACCACTTATGAGCAGAGGGTGTGTTCTCCTTGTTCAAAAAGAGATATTTCTCCCTGTTCCTTCTCTTTGTTTCCATGCTCACTTTCAGTACAGGGATTTTTGTCACCGGTTTTATGTGGCGATTATCACTTCTCACAGAAAGAACTCGCTGTCTGATTTGGAATTGATGAGATATTTCCACCACAAGTAAACAGCTGGGCTTCTCACTGACTCTGCTTCATGGGGTGGATATCAAAATTGTTCTAGAACGGGGAGAGGAAGCTGGGCTTCTCACTGACTGACTCGCTCCACAGCGGGTCATCAAAATTGTTGTGGTGTGTCTGCAACAGATGGAAAACTGACATTTGATGTGCACATAATCTGAGGTAATTCCAGAGGGGTATCTGTGTTAAGACTATACTTCGTAGTCTGAGATAATCTGATTATGGAAAAAAATACCAAAAGGAGACATTCCTTGATGCAAATGTTTGCTTCTATCTCTTACTAGTATCATTGCCAGTGCAACAAAGAACTCTGTGGCAGACCCATCAAAGTGACTGGTACCCTTTCCTCTTTTATGAGTGCCTATGTAACTTTTTTTTTTTACAAAAATCATCATCGGAAGGCACTAGCAAAGCCTTATTTCACCTTAATTGATTTCATTTGCATATTCCTGTTGCACATAATACTCTTCTGCACTGCAGTTTAGCTGACTAATCTGTCCTAAGGAGAGAAATGTGGAGCCTCCGAGCGTGTATTTTTTTTTGCAGGTTTTTGTGGTTTTTTTGCATCGGTTTGGATTGTTCTTTTGAATGCTTTTGTGCACCTTCTTAAAGAAAATAAAATATATGGTTTCTGAAATTGCTGCTTTTTAAATAACTGACTTTGGTTTGTTATATTTGAGTTGTAATTAATATGTCATCTGTACCATTAAAAAAGTCTTTTGTTTTTTCTAAACTTCTCCAAGGAGTTGTGTTGTCAGAACAGAGGCGGCTGCTTCAGAGAGGTGGATTTTGTGGGTGGGGCACTGAAAGGGAAAAGGACAAAATCTGACGGCGATAAGCCATCAGGCTGTGCAAGAGCTGAAATTAGCGTGAGTTGCCCAAGCACATTATTCTTACTGTAAAGCTAAAAGGTGGAGTGGTCAACTGGGAGCTCAGGATGAAATGTCCCCACTCTGCCTTGAACTCACTATGAGGTCACAGGCAAGGCATTCTGCCTCAGTCCCCCTCTTTTATTTGCAGTACGGAAATACAAATATTGGTCTACCTTTCAGGGCTGATGTAATGATTGTGACGATGTCCATGAAAAGTCTTTGAATGCTGAAAGTGCGGCAGAGATGCTAAGGATGATTGGTATTCTCTACTAAGAAAGACAAAGAGAAGGATCGCAATGGTTCAGCTCCGACCAAGCGACAGGCTCCTGTTGACTCTCTGCAATCCTCTGCAGTTGAATTATGGCAGAGGTTCCCCATCACATTTTAATGTCCCCACCATAGCACCATCGACACCCTGCACATCTCCCATCCACACACAGAGTGAGTCACTAAGAGTACTTACTCAAGATAGATCATGTTGGGCAGGTCTTAAAGGTGCCACTGGACTCTAGTTCTTTACTCAAGATTGAGTCCTGGTCAGTGCAATAGGTCAGAATTGTTATGCTCTAGACCATCAACAGCCTTACTAGTGATCCTTGATCCCTTCCCTGATCTGGTTTCCTCCGTGCAATCCCATTTGTCCTTTGGGATAAGGGTCTATTGATCTGATGGTGGTTTGCATCGTTGTGAAAAGACCCGCCCTACCCTGGCTACAAGGCATGCCCATGGGGTCAGAGGGCACCCAGCAATCATAATTATAGCAGGACACAGTGTCCTTGACAGCTCAAAATACCAGTGCTCGCCTTTTTGATTGTTGAACAAAAATTAAAATTCTATTTCTAGATATCTGCATTTTAGGCATCCTTGCTGCACTCCCCCAACCCTGGCTGCTGCAGCTGTCATCCTAGTTTAGCAATGGCTCTCCTTAAAAGCCTTTTCCCCCCAGTGACAGCTATCAAAACTGGTTCATAAATGGATTTTTAAAGAAAAATACCATAAGCCACCCGAGCTTTCTCCTGCAATGGAATGAGCTTTGCAAAATTCGTTATGAATTTCTCACCAGTCAAGAGAATATAAACAGCTTAATCTCTCCCCTGAACTGTATTTTACAGTCATTTCCCCTTTTCTCTGTGTGTGTCTGTGTGCTGGAGATCCATTTCCAGACCTTAAGAGCATTGTCGTCTAATGGACCAAGAGCAGATTAAAGAGACACATCCCATGCTTTGGAATTTATCATACCAACATATTCTTGAGAAGTGCTGCTTTGGAGAAATGGAAACAGCAATTTGTAGCAAATCTGTTCCATTTGCCAAGACTCTACCACGAGGGCAAAAAGGCACATACAATCCATTTGTCTCTGGGCTAATGAAAGTGGGTGATGGTTTCAAGTGTATGCTTCTATAATTGTACCTGGGGCAGAGCTAGAATGTCAGGGTTTTAAAAGACCAGGGAGAAGGCAAACTGGATTAATGGATGGATATTGCCTTTATGTAAGGTAGGAGACGGGAAAGGAGTACCAGTTGGGCAGTATCCTACACGAGCCTGAACCTGCAGCCATGGCCAAGCTGTGGGTATGATTCTTGCACAAAACATGGATGCTGAATCCAGCTTGGCGACAAAAAGAGTTTCTGGTCTGTATTGATTGTAAAGAGAGATATTTTGTGGTAGGAGTGGGGGACGAGACCAGAGATGCCTCCATACTTTAATGTGGAACTGTTTATTTGGAATCTCCAGGACATAACTCAAATTGGTACAATCAAACAACAAAACCATCCCTTTAGCTCTTGCTCGTTTCTTGAGGTGTGTGCAGCAGCTGCTACTGTCTGACAGCAGCATCCGTACTGCAGAATCACAGTGCTGCAAATCAGCTGTAAACGTCTCAAAGGCAGCTACGCTGGGATGAAGGAGCCAGCTGTAAAGTGCACTGTTGAAAAATGCAGCAAGATTCCATGCTATGCTTGGAAGTACATAGATAATGTGATTGAAATCTGCTTTGAGACTCCTTAAAGTAGAGAAAAGGGGGGTATAAAAAATACTCTCCTTTCCCTAAGATTTGCTGAAAGCTCTAAAGCCAGAGGGATAGATCCAAGTCGAAACAGAGGGGACTCTTACCCAGCTTGCCAGTGACTTCAAGCAATGTTTTCGTGCGTGTTCCATAGTCGCCCCCCCCCCCCAACCTTGGAAAATAATAAGCTGGCAACAACAGCCATGGCAGGTGAGGCTTGGTTGTGGCAGCCACAGCCACTGATGTCACCAGTGGGCAACGACCACTACAAAGCCTCAGGAACCAAGGGCCAGGCTGAGAAAAGGATGGCAGCGGTGGTTGAGCCGGAGCCAGAGGACCCCACCTGCCCGAACAGAGTAGCAGGGCAGAAGGCAAGGGGTTTGGCTGTGGGAGAGGCTCAGAAGCGGGGCCAAGCCGGGGGGGGGGGCTGGTTGGCCCGTGCACCAGGGCCACAGAAAGGA